GGAAGAAACCCAGTCCAGTACTGTGGAGGTTGGAGCCTAGATTACATCTAACCATAACCATAGGAACTGTTACATGTTAACTACCATGGAGAGAAGAACACCAGTCAGTACTGTGGAGGTTGGAGCCTAGATTAAATCTAACCATAACCATAGGAAACTGTTACATGTTAACTACATGGAGGAAGAAAGAACACCCAGTCAGTACGGGAGGTTGGAGCCTAGATTACATCTAACCATAACCATAGGAAATGTTACCATGTAATTACCATGGAGAGAAGAACACCAGTCGTACTGTGGAGGTTGGAGCCTAGATACATATAACCATAAACAATAGGAACTGTTACCATGTTAACTACCATGGAGAGAAGAAACACCAGTCAGTACTGTGGAGGTTGGAGCTAGATTACATCTAACCATAACCATAGGAACTGTTACATGTTAAATACCATGGAGAGAAGAACACCAGTCAGTACTGTGGAGGTTGGAGCCTAGATTACATCAACCAAACCATAGGAAACTGTTAACCAATGTTAACTACCATGGAGAGAAGAAACACCAGGTCAGTACTGTGGAGGTTGGAGCCTAGAATTACATCTAACCATAACCATAGGAACTGTTACCATGTTAATTACCATGGAGAGAAGAACACCAGTCAGTAACTGTGGAGGTTGGAGCCTAGATTACATCTAAACCATAACCATAGGAACGTTACCATGTTAACTACCATGGAGAGAAGAACACCCGATCATACTGTGGAGGTTGGAGCCTAGATTACATCTAACCATAACCATAGGAACTGTTACCATGTTAATTACCATGGGAGAGAAGAACACCATCAGTACTGTGGAGGTTGGAGCTAGATTACATCTAACCATAAACCATAGGACTGTTACCATGTTAATAACCATGGAGAGAAGAACACCCATCAGTACTGTGGAGGTTGGAGCCTAGATTACATCTAACCATAACCATAGGAACTGTTACCATGGTAATTACCATGGAGAGAAG